GCAGAGGCCAGGGATGCTGCTTAGTACCCTACAATGCACAATAAAGCCTCCCACAACAGAGAATTAGCCAGTGCAAAATGTCAGTGGTGTCACTGTTGATAAGCTCTGCCCTACATGAAATTCATGGGCAACTTGCCCATCAACACAAGCAATGTTTCCAAAGTCTCCTACTCTATTACAAGAGCAGAAAACAAAAACAATGCCCAGACAACTGAGGAAGACTTCTAACAAGGAAGACGGGGATGTAAACAAACAGATAAAAGCCACTGGAAAAAGGGGCGCCTGGGTGGCTCAGCGGGTTGTGTCTGACTCTTGATCTCAGCTCAGCCCTTGATGTCAGGGTTGTGAGTTCAAGCCCCTCCTCACTGGGGCCCGGCGTGGAGCCTACTTAAAACAAAGAAAAAAAGCAACTGGAAAAAGGGACTCTGTAGGAACAAGAAAACTCTAAAAAACTATATTTGATTTCCACTTATGACCATGATTAGTCAGGACCAGATTTGCCTTCCTGCTCTAAACAACTAGAAAACTGGACAAGATTTAGAAAGCTGTTTTCCAATATTGGATAACAGGCAACTCAGGACTTCCTTTCACATCTAAGTTCTGGATTTGACTTTTTTTTTAATTAAGTTTTTTATTTTAATTCGAGTATAGTTAACAGTGTTCTATTAGTTTCAGATGTGCAATAAATATAGTGATTCAACAATTCTATACATTATTCAGTGCTCATCATGATAAGTGTCCTCTTTCTGGATTTGACTTTTGTGTATAGGGATCCAGTTTGAATTTACTGAAGAATTTCCCCACTGATATACAATGCCACCTTTCCATACAGGGATTCATCTACTCCTGGTCTGTTTCTGTCTTTGCGCTGGTATCATACTGCATTAATTCTTCACAATGTTGTTTGAAACTCAAATCCATCTGTTTGATCTTTAAGTTGCTAAAACTACAAATCTATCAGCTTGACGGAAAATTAAAAACCAAGAACACTATTGCCATCTGGTGGAGAGACCTACTATTACCACATCTAAATGAGACCCGCTGTGACTCACCTCCTCACTCCCCCATTTGGCCGACGAGTCTGAAAAATCTTCCTTTATCAGTTCTTTCTAATCTGTCCCTTCACTTCCATTCTCCTGGTACCTACACCTTAGTCTACTTCCTACTTTGCTAGGATTATTGTCTTTGAACCAGCCCCTCTCTTTAGTCACTATTCTTTCAATACTTTTCTTGTTCCTGGTGTCACACCTTGTAATTTCACATTAATTCGATGGGTCACTTATCAAGTTCTTGCTTACGAGAAAACATTTTGGAACCAGTAACAGCAGTCTGACTAGGGACAAACAGAGAAAACAAAGTAGAGGCTCGATAAATGTTAGCTGAATTGAAAAAAGTTATTTAGCACCATTTGCTCATTTGCCAAATTTATCTGGGAGGCGGCATAGGCACGTTTCCAACCTTTTTTTTTCCCTTTTAGAATACCAGACTGATGAAAAATTCACATGTGTAATTTTTCTGTGGGCTTACCTAAAAAAATTAGTTTTAATTGCAAAATACATGACCAATATAAAAAAAAAAATTCAGAGTTCTGCAAATGAGTGACTCTATGGATGATGTTGGGAGCCAGGGTTCTGAGGAAGAAGATACAAGTATGGAATGGGGGAAGACAAGGAAGAACCCAGTGGGGCTGAATTGGAGTTGGAAGTATTAGTAAAACTTGTGGTTTCTAGTATCTGTGTTTCTTAGCTCCTTCTGTTGAAGGGGCCTAGAGTCAATGGCAACCCAGCAGGGCCCAGACCTTAGCATCCAAACACCATTCTCCACTAAGAGAAACTAGGGATTGTTGGAGAAATGGCTGCTTCCAGCGCTGGGTAGGAAAAAATATAGGACAAACTTGAAACATCTTGTGCTAGAAAGTAAGGAATTCTTCAAGAAAGGATGAGAACATGTCTAAAAGACCCAGAAGCCACCTTGAAAGGTCTCCCACTGGCCAAATCTGGGACAACCTGACATCAAAACACGTGAGAGTAACAGACCTGAATAAAATAGCAATCCATTAATTCATGCTAAGTTGGAAAATGAAAGCTTTTCCTTACAGCAGAATGCCAACTAATAAATGTAAAAGGAATGGTAGAATTGGAAAGCCATTTGGCAACTCTCAGGGGTAACAATTCATCCAAAAAACATCACTGGATGCTAAAATTAGTATGTGAAAGTTTGCTGAGAAACAGAATATTTAGTCTCAAAGTATCTCCTTACAAAATGCTTAACTTAATGGAAAAAAATATTAACTTTACAGTGAAGAAATCTAGCAGACACCCCCTAAAACCAGCGATCCAAATCAACTCCTGGTAATGGAACAACTGACACCATGATAAGATGCGCTGAAAAAGACATAGCATCACTTCTATGATATTCCTGCCAACAATGTGTGAACTCAATCTAACTGTGAAGGAATATCAGAAATACTCAGATGAAGGGAGAATTTATAAAATAATTGACCTTTGTGTTTCATGACCTTGACACTTGTGAAACAGATTGAAGAATGGTTCTAGATTAAAGGGAGACTACAGACATGGCAACTAAATGTACTGTGTTATCCTGATTTGGACCCTGGACTTGTTTTTTGTTTTAACAAAGGCCATTACTGGGACAACTAGCGAAATATGGAAAAGATTAGGTAATAGTACTGTATTAATGTTAATTTTCTGGTTTTGATAATTGTGCTATGGTTATGTAAAAAAATATCCTGGTTCTTAGGAAATACACAAGTATTTGTGGTAAAAGGGCATCGTATCTGTAACTAACACTCCAATGGTCAGAAAAAAAGCATTTATTCTATACAAATATCTGTGCTGATAAAGGGAAATCTCTCCGTTATTGTTGGATGACAATTAGTTAATACAGAAAGAATGATGTAGTTAGAAAATCACAGTTTTGTAAACATCACAGTAAAAAATGTTTTCAGATAAGAATCATCAAAGGATGCTAAATCTATAAGGGGCAGGTTTATGAGGAATAGAGTATCAACATGGTCTCAAAAGTTTCTCCCCCTAAATTATTTACTAATTGCAAAAGGAAAACTACTAACTATACAGTGGAGAAATTGGATGACGTCTTACTCAATTGATCAAAATGGACATCAATATGGGGCAAAGGGATATTGCTGAGTCTGGATGTGACACTGGGAGGCCAACATCACTCATAGCATTCTAGCTCATACTGCATAACCCAAATCCAACCACAAGGAAACATCACAAATACCCAAACTGAAGGAAAATCTATATTTTACCTGTCCTGTATTCTTCAATAGATCAATACTACAAAAGACAAAGGCTGAAGAACCGTTCTAAATGACAGAATCATGAGAATTTAACATATGATCCTGGACTAGATTCTGTAGCTGAAAAAAAAAAAATTACCAATGGAACAACTGAAATTGGAATAGGGGCTGTAGATGAAAATTCTATCATTGTTAAATGCCTAAATTTGAGAACTGTACTTAGTGTGCTTCTTTTTATGAAGTACATCTGTAACATTAAAAGTGAAAAAAGGTAGGTCTGAAATGTACTCTCAGATGAGTCAAGAAAAAATATATAACAAGAGATAGAAGATGGTAAACCAAACAGAGAAACATTAAAAAAGAAGTCTAAATGCAAAACAATGTAGGTTTCTTCTACTTAAAATTCTCAAAACATATACATATATGTGCATTAAATACATATATTTCTAGGACACTATAATTAGTAGTCTCTTGCTCCCCCATGTAAGGGAAATAGGAGCTAAAATATATTAGGTGGTTGGCATGAGGGCAAAACGGTTAAGTTTCTTTTTTCTCAACCTTCAGTTCCACTCCACAAAGTTTTTTCTTATATGTGCACACAAGCTTCTGCACATGTGTAATTCTTCCATCATTTTGATGGCTGCATAGTCTTTGAATGAATCTACTTAAAGGTGTTCTATTGGTATTTGTTTCTAATATGTATATTTTAAATACGATCAGATTTAAAAAAATACGTTATTTCATTTTTATATTTACTTTGATAAAAGCTATTAGGCCTTAATTCTGTTATAGTTTTTTGTTTTTGTTTTTTTAGAGGTGGGGAGAGAGAGACAGAGAGAGATGGGGGGAGGGGCAGAGGGAGAGGGAGAATCATAAGCAGGCTCCACTCCCAGCACAGAGCTGTCTCGGGGCTCCATCTCATGACCCTAAGATCGTGACCTGAGCCGAAACCAAGAGTTGGATGCTTAACCGACTGAGCCACCCAGGCATACTTTATAGTTTGTTTTTATGCCTTCCTTTTAAAAAATATTTTATGTTCATGTTTTATTTGGGGATTTTCCTTCACATTTTACAACTTTTATTCAATTTATACCATATTATTATTTCAATAATATAAAGATTTATAATGCTTAGGGTCTATCCTGAGTATAATACTAATGAAAATCTTCATGGAGGAACTTGAGTCTGGCCAGTAGATCATTTCTGGAAGGAAGTTATGCAAGGCATGAATATGAAATGTGAGTTGTGGAAGTCTAAATCCCAGCTGATACCTGAGAAATGTACTTTCCTAAAGTCGACCAACCCAACTTTTAACAAATCTGGGCCACTCTCTAACTGGATCCTATTATGGGTTCCTTGTATTGATTTTAATGAAAAATCCCTAATCGACTGAAGTGCGAGGAGATACTCTCTGCTTTCAGAGCTATTTTTGTTATATTTTGCATCATCCTTATGATCGTTCTGGATAAGAATAACAATGTATCCTAGAGAAATACTATTTTAAAAACCTTACAGATAAACAAAACTTTAAATACTTTCCATAATAATTTTAAAACAAATAGAAATGTAGTATCTATACCATGTATATCATGTTATCTATCCTACATATTTTATAGTGATATGTATTTATACATACTGCGCTTGCAATAGGAAATACGTTTTTGGTTTCTCATAGTATGCTGCAAGATTCAAAAGCAGAAGTCCTAAACCTCTGAAGGCAGCATAAGAAAAATTTTTATTTGAACCTCAAAGTTGTCTTTTAGCAGTCTGTGTCATATATAAAAGAAGAGTCAAAATGTTGGTTTTGTTCTATTTATTTTTGGTGGGTGGGGAGGGGTGGTAAAAAAAAGTTTGGTTTTTGCTTCAAGGAGCTTTCCTAAAGAGTAGTAACTCATTCATTACACATTCCCATGGATGACATGTTTTCTTGGCTTTCATGACAGTTTGAATTCAAGGTAATGTGCATAAAATGTAGTTTTCTGAAATCCAGTGTATTCACTTGGACACACACGGGTTGACCCTTGTGTTCTCATTCTCACATAAATGGTATTGGCACTTCGGCTTCAAGAACAAATAAAAAGTATCATAAATACAACTTGTGATTTGGGTCTGGGCTAATGACTAAGGAACTATTCAGGTTTAATGGTCTTGGATATTTCAATGCCCTGTGAACCTACAGTTAATGAAGAGACTGCTGATTCTAAGAACTATGCCACCAACAAGGGAATGAAGGAAGAGTTATAAGTCTGATGCAAAGTTCAGAGCAAAATATCAATCAATAATCTCCTTCTCACTTTTGCGATATCAATAAAGTAGAGAGTGAGGATAAGAATTACATGAATAATGATAAATAAAAAGCATCTACAGAAATGGGAAAATATTTCTCATTAAATTTGCCACTTATTCTAGTTCAATAAGATGCTTGTGAGGGAAAGAACTAAGGCAGGAAACTAGTTACGTTGTTGTTTAGAACTTCTTAAGAGCAAAAAATGCATACCAATCAACTTTCTCGGTTTAATATTGTCTTAAAACGTGTTATTTTGGAACTTGAACACCTATGTTATGCCTTGAAAATTCAAAGCAAAAAGTAAAATCATGTAGAAAGCCAGAAATGTCATCAACACATCTACACAGATGTTTGCTTGTAGTTTTTGGTATCCAAAACCTTTTTTCCACACATTGCACAGATGCCTAAAACAAACAAACAAAACATGTAAGCAATCAAATCATAATACCGACTAATAATACCAAATACCGAATACCAACAGTTTGCTTTATTTAAGTCACTCCTGAGGCTTAAAACATAAATTAACAGCATGAGAGAAGAGAAAAAGAAAGCATAGACCTGTAACTACAAACAAGTTCTAAGTTTTATCTTGCTTTAGAAAAAAGAGCACTTGATGAACAGCATCTATGAAAGGCTACTCCTTTCTTGTGTTATCTAAGTCAGCACCAAGAGTAGGCTAGATATGAATAGAAAAATGGTACTGAAAGAAACTTACCCTTTTTGTAGGCACAGCCCTGGCAGTAATGAGAACCCGGTTGGTGCACAGAACTTTTACAAATTCTGCAAGTGGAGAACTTATTCTTTCCATATGGATCGAATCTAGAGGTTTTTTTTTTTTTTAAAAAAAGAAAAAAAATGTATAATAGAATAGAAACACTTAAATGACCTCCCTTTAGCAACAAATGGGATCAATCCATGCTCTCTGTTCTGTGTCACACTGTCTGATTGACAGGCACGGCACACTTGCAGCTGGCTCCTCTCCCCGTGCCTGCACACCCCTGCCCCTTCTATATGACTTGTATGCTGGTGAACAGTCAGTTCCTTAATCCCAAACCTGTTTCTACAAGTTGTATTTGCCAATCTGTGTGTGTGATATAGTTTAATATTATGGAAACTGATGAAATGTGTACAAAAAGAGTGACCAATTCTATTAAAAACTATGAGAATGCTTTAGGATGGCTGGGTCAGTGACAATCACTGAACTGCCACTGAATTAGGTGAGACAGCTTCAAAATAGGGGCAAGATCGTAAGTGGAAGGACATGCCACTTTGCAAGTCTGTCAGTTTTGGCTCCACTTTAAAGATACTGGAAATGTGCATTCTGGTTATGATTTATGTGAGGAAAATGATGAACTCTTATCAGTAGACTCATACTCAAAAAGCCTGTCTCAGTGCCAAAGGACTGATGAATGCATGTGCTGTTATGTGCTGTGGCTTATAAGAAGGTATGTGTATGTTTTAATAATCACCTCCTTTGGGCACCTGGGTGGCTCAGTTGGTTAAGCAACTGCCTTCGGCTCAGGTCATGATCCTGGAGTTCCGGGATCGAGTCCCACATCGGTCTCCCTGCTCAGCAGGGAGTCTGCTTCTCCCTCTCC